CGCTAATGTTTTATTACATGGACACCTTGTATAATGCTTAAGTCAGTGTTTTAATGTGCCTGTCACCAGAATAGTGTTCGTCACACCCAACAGGTAAGTTTTTATCCCTCATCCCCCTTCCACCCTCCCCCCATCTTGGTTTCCTGAGTTTTTTACTCTAAAATGAGAAAGTGGAACTAGATAACCTTTAAGGTCTCTTCCAGGCAAAAATTCTACTCTGATTTAACAAAAATGTATTCAGTGCCATCTGGGGGAATAATCTCACAGAGGGCCAGGGGTTAACAGAGGTCCCGACGCCATGAGAGCCCAGCAAAGGGTGCAGCCAGCTCGCCTGGGGCAGGCTGGGGAGTCCCGGAGTGTAGGCTCTGGGCGGGGCTCTGCAAGATGGCGATGAGCGGCCCAGAGGACAGGTGAGGAAAGAAGAGGATGTGCAAACCAGAGCAACGTGGAGGACAAAGGGCCCAGGGGCACGGGGAGGCGGTTGACAGGGGTCAACTTTCCCGATGGACACTGAACGGGGGGCCTGCAGGAACATAGAGAAGGCGGCTTGTGCTGCAAGGAAGGTCGCCACAGAGCGGGCAATGGGCTAGCAGGGAGCAGAACTGGAGGCTGAAGAGTCCCCAGAACAGACGCAAACCAGATCAGGACAATGGTTAGTGGGCCGGACACGCCGTGGCACAGAGAAGGCAGCAGTTACAATATGCAGTTGTTTGTGCCCCAGGCCTCCGAATTCAACTCAAAGCCACATGACTTTGCCAAGAGTCACCCAGTCCCTCCACTGGGCTCCAAGGGCACCTCGTAAAACCCTATACTGGGAAATTCTCACAGGGTAGACAGCTCTCTGCTGAGCATTCCTCTTACAAATTAACAGATGCTCTTTATATGTTAAAGACATTACTCTTTCATCTTGTATGTTTGTTAGAAGTATTTTCCCAAGTTTCTTATTTATTTTTCTAAGTGCTGTTTTTAAGTGTAAAGTTTCCAAATATTTATGTACTCAAAACTATGGTTTTCTTCAGCTCATATGATATTAGCCCACATTTACTTTTTACAAATTGTTTTTATCTACTTAGATTTTAATCTGATTAAGAAATTCACCTTTACTTTTGTTCCAAAAGATCCAGCCAGTTGCCCTCAAATTCATGTATAGTATATTCTTCTCCGACTGATTTAAAACACCGTTGCATATGTATATATGTATATATGCGTGCATAGTTAATTCTCTTGTTACATTGGTCTGACTTTTCTTACAGCAGTTGCAGACTGCATTAATGTCGCTTGATAATGTTTTTAATATCTGCTAGGGCAAATCCTCCCCCATTGCTGTTCATTCACAAAACCTTCCCATCTAGTTTTATAATTTATATTTCAGGTGGAACTATGATTTGATCACATTCGCCTCGAAGTCCTACTAGAATTACTATTGGAATTGAATGAATTGGGGTGCCATAACAATTGGTTTAAATCTCTCTCTCTGATTAGACCCAAGATCCTGGCAGCAGAACATCATGACCTGCTCTCCCGGCACCTGGCACAGCGCTCAGCCCTTTCACGGGCACATGTGATGACCACAAGAAAGTGGAGGTCACATCTAGTACAGTCTGAGGCCTGCACTCAATATTCAGTGGTTCTTTCTTCCTCTTAAAACGACTCTATTGTCTGGGCACGGTGGCTCACGCCTATAATCCCAGCACTTTGGAAGACTGAGGCGGGCGGATCACTTGAGGCCAGGAGTTCGAGACCAGCCTGAGCAACAACATAGTGAGACCTCATCTCTACCAAAAAAAAAAAAATTATGCAGGCGTGGTGGTACACTCTTGTAGTTTCAGCTACTCGGGAGGCTGAGGCAGGAGGATGGCTTGAGCCCAGGAGTTCAAGGTTGCAGTGAGCCATGATCACACCACTGCACTCCAGCCTGGGTGACAGAGCCAGATCCTGCCTCTAAAAAAACAAGCAAAAAAACCTCTCTTCATCCAGGAGCCAGAACTTGAAGGAAAACTTCTTGAGACAAAACGGGAAGCAATTTCTTGGGGCCTCATTTTCCTTGGCTGACGTGTCAGTTTCAGCCTCAGGAAATTAAGGAGAAGATGGGGCGACTTGTGAGCGCTGCACAACGCCAGCTACGCTGTGGAAACCTCATGTCTATCTGTACCTTTTAACTGCATGATGGAAACGTCAGAGGAGCTGCTACCCTCGCTGGCCAGCTCCCTGTTTGTCACCGCCATGCTTTCCCAGTGTGACTCTGGTACCTCTGCAGGTGCCCACGGCAGCTTTACGACTGCCGAGGGCCATGCCCCGTCCTGGAGCAAGTCTCACCCCGCAGCCGTGGGTTCACGTCCGAGCAACAGTCAACAAGGGCTTAGCCTTGAAGTCGCATCTTCAGCTGCGTATTTTAAAATACCCCTTCCCCACCTTTAGCTATTAATCTTACTTTTAAGGCCCAACTGAATTCTTCCTCCTCCTGGCAGCCTGCCAGCACCCCCAGGCCCACATCGCGCTCTCTCCTGGCGCCATCCACAGTACAAACAATCTAAATTTCAGGTCATAAGCTTGCAAATTCACTCATAACTATGCAATCACTGTGTGCACTGTTTGGTCTTTTCTTCATTTAATGTCTTGGCGAGAGGGTGGGTATGGGAGTGATGGGCGGTGGGTCCCCGGGCTTTCCCCCAACTCCATTTACTCCCTAAAATCTCACACTGGGCCTGACACATACCTACCCCCAGGGGCCTCTGCATGTGAGACCCTGGTACAAAACATTCATTCTCACTGATCACAGAACCCTTGGCATAGCTGTGTTGTTTCATGTGTACGTAATAATAATACCAATGACAACAAGGGACGTTTATGGAGAACTTACAAAACTCGAGGCACTGTGCCGAGTGTTTACATGCATAGATCCACTTACCTCGACAACTCCCATAACGCGAATACTGTTGTTATCCCCATTTTACAGCTGGAGAAAGTGAGGTAAGCACCAGGCCTGAGGTCACACACAGTCAGCAAAGGGGCAGGGATTCAGAGCCAGGTCTTCTGGGCCAAGACTGTCATGCCCACATCTTCCCTGTGGGGCTGCCACGTCCCTAGCCCTGGTCTCCTCCCTCGAGAGTGAGCTCCCCGCGGTGGCCCACAGCTGGGGGAGCTCAACCAGGGGCAGGTGGGGCTGCATCCCAGAGGCACCTAGTCCCTGGGGCTTGGGGGGTTCAGTGCATTTGAATGAGGAGAGGTGAGCACGAGCAGTCCTGCCGGAGCCTGGGGTTCCGTCTACCTTTGCCAAGGAGGCAGACCTGGAGAGCGACAGTGGTCTCGGCTGGTCCCAGGCCCGCCCGACCCCAACCCTAAGTGTGTCACACAAGGGCTTGGTGCCACGACTTTCTGGGCTGCAGAGGACCTGGTGTCTGGACTCACATGGCCTGCATTGGAAGGAGGGGTCACAGTCTCACGGACCCTCGCCTGAAGGCCTGTGTGGGCCTGGCTCACCTGCACCCACACGGCGGAGCCTGGGGCCTGGAGGAGGTGCTCGCAAGTACCCACCAAGTGAACATCCCACCTTTTGTTATGGTATAGTCATGGGGACAATCATCTCAATCAGGGGTATTCACCTGCTGAGTGCCACCTAATGTAACACTTGGTGGGGACGCAGGTGAACCAAACACAGCGTCACCGCCAGAAGCCCACAGACCAACGAGACTGTGCCCTGTGTGTCTGCACTGCCCCCACCGAACTGTCCACTTGCTAAAGGCAAAGCCCAGCTTCATCTTCTCTGCAGGACTCTGGCTCCCTGTTTGACAGGAAGGCTCTGGAGCAAAACCACTTGGGTTCAAATCCTGGTTCTACCACTCATGAGCCATGCACACGAGAGGTAACATATCCAGCCCAGGACTGCCACCCTCTGAAAGCCCTGCTGCAAGGCTGGGCCTTGGCTGCATCTGGGAACACGGATTTGGGGAGGGATCCATCATTCTCTGATAAAAGTGGCTCTCTGCTCTCAAACCGTCTGTGCAAACAATGCAGTTTGTGCTGCACGCCTGCTTCTGGGAGTCTGGAATCTTGGTACCTGCGAAGCAGAGGGTGCCCACGTGGCCAGCGCCCAAGAAAACCCCGGCACTGAGTCTCTAAGGAGCTTCCCTGACAGACAGGGAAGCTTATGTGATTCCACTGGGAGAGGACTCTTGAAAGCTTGCGGCTGATTTTCTCCAAACTTCTCCCTGTGCACCTTTCCCCTTTGCTGATTAAGCTTTGCGTCCTTTCGCTGTGATACATCATGGCCACGAGGACAACCACCGGATATGGAAGTCCATGGGTCGTGCTGGGATCATCGAACCTGGGGCTGGTTTGGAGACTCTGACATTCTAGCCACGGTATCTCGGGCAAATTACTTGACCTTAGTGTGCTTCGGTGTCTCCATCTACGACATGCAGATGATTTCAAAATAGACTCTGTCTCGCAAGATTGTGGTGAAGATTACATGACTTGGCACACGTAAATCGCTCAGAATGCCTGGCTCGCGGCAGGTGCTTAAGAAACGCGAAGTGTTACATAGCGAACTAACACTCAAGAACACGTGAACGAGTGACGTACGAGCTGCAAATGGTCAAGCCGACGAACGAACACGGGAAGTACGAACGGTGAATAGCAGAAGCTGGGACGCCCGCCCACAGACTGTAGCGTTCTGGGAAGATCTGGGAAGACAAAACGTCACCAGCAGCCGGTAGGGGTGCCGCCGAACAGCAGCACAGACTGGCAGCGGAGCCTCGGCCTGTTTTGCCAATGGCCAGCCCGTCCTGTCCAAGTGGAGGGTCACCTGGGAAACCAGGCAGACAGACTCAGGCCACAGGGGGAGAACGCCACCTCAATGCATTTCTGGGGGGCCAAGGCCAGCAGCGGCCCCTCCCCTTGGCTCTGAAGACAGGCAGGAGACCAGCACAGCACAGGCACACGAGGACATATGGGGACAGGTGGGGCGGGGTGTTTGGGTCATATATTATAGTTTCTCTTACCGTTATCTTTTCTTCTACGGTTATGGTAAAAAAGGCTTTTAGCTGTGTTCTGTTCTAGAAAAGGAAAAAAGAAAATGCCTTAGTCAACAGTCCTCAGGGTCTGACCTACGGGGTAATATCTGGTGCAATCCCCAGTCTCCCATGCCTGGAGCCACCGTCGGCCCTGGCTGCTGGGTGGCTTGCAGCGTGCAGAGATCTCACTTTCATGGGGGAGGGTCCCTGAGACTGTGACCCTCCTTCCAACGCAGGCCGTGCGAGTCCAGACACCAGGTCCTCTGCAGCCCAGAAAGTCGTGGCACCAAGCCCTTGTGTGACACACTTAGGGTTGGGGTCAGGCGGGCCTGGGACCAGCAGAGGCCGCTCCCGCTCTCCAGGTCTGCCTCCTTGGCAAAGGTGGACGGAACCCCAGGCTCCGGCAGGACTGCTCGTGCTCACCTCTCCTCATTCAAATGCACTGAACCCCCCAAGCCCCAGCTCCTCTTGGGCCCAGTCCCAATGCCCTCCAATATTCCCCTCTGATAAGACATGGAAAACGGAAAAATGAAGGGTGAATGTTACGCCTGTATCGCCAACCACATGGTGTCTGGGGAGACCCATCACGAGAACACACATCTTCCTGGGGGCAGAGGCAGAGAGCCTGCAACTGAAAGGCAGTGTCGCCTGGTAGTTAGAGCCGGGCTGCCTGAATTTATCCATCACTCACCAGCAGCCAGACCTTGGGCAAGGTAGTGACCTCTCTGTGCCTCAGTTTTCTCATCGGTAAAATGGGAATCAAATTCAACTCATAGTGTTGCTGTGAGGATTAAATGAGTTAATATAGACCTAGAAGGGTAACTAGTACATAGTGCTGTAAAAGTGTCACTGCCGTTGGCGGTAGTAGCTAGCAGTAGTAGCAACAGCAATAGTGGTAGTATCATCCTGGCCTTGGGCCCTGGAGCTTGGAATCCAGTGAGCTACGCAACCTCTGTATAATTCTCATCACACATACTACTGAGTTGGTCTTCCCTAACCTGACCTAGGGTCCTGCCAAGGTACGAAATGCCCTGACCCATGCCCTGCAGATGCTACACAGGCAGCCTTGGGGAGACTGGGGAATCCCACCCTCACCATGGCTAGCAGGCAACCTAATGCAGGCTTCAAGGAAACGGAAATACTAGAAGTCCTCTTTTTTAGGGGGGCAATGGAGTATTTTTAGAATATGATTCTTTAAAGAAGAGACAACTATGAGGCAATTACTTGTACCTTTCTATTCTTGAGTTGCCTCTGCTTTGGAATACTTTTGCTGTCCCAAGTTTCAGGTTCCCCTGGGCTGAACGCCTGAGGCTAAATTCAGAGGCCCATATTCAACCACATTTTGCTGTGCTCGTCCCTCCTCGGGGGCCTCCCTCCTGTGTTTTCTGACATCCAAGGTCTACAGAGACAGGAGTGTAAAGTGTGCCACAGAGCTTGTCCTCAACCCTGCGAAACAGAAATCCTCACCTCTGTACTTACGACATCAGCTTCAAGACTTGAGAAGCAGGTTTTAGATGCTAGCACGAAATCGAAAACATGGACCACGTCGGATATAGTGACAGTTTTATAAGGTGGACATAAAGTTCATATAATATGGTGTAAAGAACTTGAGATGAACATTCTAGCTTTTGGTCCTTTTGATCTAACTAACCCACATGGATTTGGTGGCTCCGTGTGCATTACCTGTGTGTGTGTGTGTGTGTGTGTGTGTGTGTGTGTGTGTGTGTGTTTGTGTGTGCGTTACGCAAGCAGTTTCCAGACATAAATGCAATGCATTTCTGACAGTACCTACCTCTTGCTCTGACCATTACATGTGCTTGGCTGAGAGCAGGCTCTTAATAAGTGACGAACTGTTTGTATTGCCCCTCCAACACTCTCGTACAGTTCTAAAATGGCAGAACTACAAGAGATTTGGGAGGAGGCTTCCTACTTCTCTCATTTTTTAGGTGGGGAAACAGAAGGCCAGAGAAGTTGCATTGCTTCTGAAAACACAGCTGGGGCAGTGGTTCCCAGCCTCTGAAGGATCTGCACTAACGTGAAGGACTTCATCCTGTGCACATACTGCACTCTAAAATAATTCCTTTATTTTCCCATTCCTAGCGTCAGACTCTTTATGACTGGCTCACCAGCAAAGCAAACAAACATTCTCATGTGGAATTGATAAAAGTCTCACTCAGACTTTGGGTCTCATCATTTTTAGCCTCAAACACACATTGACCTTCTTTATATAATGTATGAAAGCCAAGGAGCTGGCCAGGCGCAGTGGCTCACACCTGTGATCCCAGCACTCTGGGAGGCCAAGGCAGTAGGAGCACTTGAGGCAAGGAGTTTGAGACCAGCCTGGACAACATGGTGAGACCCTGTCTCTACACAAAATTTTAAAAAATTAGCCAAGTGCCGTGGGGTGCACCTGTCGTCCCAGCTACTTGGGAGGCTGAGGCAGGAGGATCACTTGAGCCCAGGAGCTCAAGGTTATAGTGAGCTATGATGATGCCATTACACACAAAAAAAGCCAAAAGCCCAGGAGTCACCCAAAGGGACTTACAAGTCCAACCAGGTGAAACTATTTGAGAACTAGGCACAGGAGCCTCTTGCCAACTTCCAACACGTATTCACTCAGCAAACACTGGCCGAGTGCCTTCTGCAACTCATTTCTACGGCATGGTCTGGGTGGGGTGAAACTGGTGGTCTAACAGCAGGCCCTAGAACTCCAGCTAGTGAAGCTTGGAACTCTGGAATCTTCAAGTGGGCAGGTGAGCCTTGCTCTCTGTCCTTCAGTCTCTGACCATGGAACTGCTGCAGAGTCTTAAAGGCCCAGAGAAAGAAGGAAACTTCAGGCCATTTGTATATCTACATCATTTTCTTTAACCCTATAGAAGCCTAGAGATATTAATAGAAAATCTCCTTTTTACAGATGAGAAACCTGAGACTCAAAGAAGTTTAAAAAAAAAGCTGCCCAAGATTCATTAGTTCACTGATGTGTTCATTCATTTATTCAATAAACAGCTGCTGAGCACCTGTCAAGCACAGGACTCTCGCTTTGCCACTGGGGACGCAGCTGCGAACAGGACAGATGAGGGCCATGGTCTCGTGGAGCTGGCGTTCTCGGGCTGGGGGGTCACTGGGTCAAAGCCAATCCCACAGACAAGGAGCCAAGCAAAGCAGCAGACAGGAGAGAGAGGAAGATCGCCCTGGAGCGCGTGAGGGAGCCACCTCCGTGCCCCAGACCTCCCACGGGAGCCTCAGTGCTTCACGGCTTAAGGAGACAGAGGCTTTGGTTCCGCTTCACTCTGAGCTTCTGACTTGCTTTCTGACTCTTGCTGTATCTGAAATTTTGATTTTAACTGACTCGGCTTCCTGTCCTCTGAGGTTGTTGATGGTATATTTCTTCTGGGATATTTTATTCCTATCTTTCTTTGTCCTCTGCTTTTTGACTTTATACTTAATTTTTATTTCCCAGGAGATCTGTCATTTCCAACAGCTTTGTGTTCTTTCTCGTGTCTGGTCTTTAGCTTTTTATCTAAAAGTATCTAAGGTTTTTTCCCTTATTGCAGCAGGAACACCACACAGGCCCTCCAGCTGCAGGGCCGCAAAGAGCCCCCAGGAGGGGCCAGTGGCCCGGTGGCTGCAGGGCCAGATTTTGATTGTCACGTGACCCGGGGCAGTCACAGCCATGCTCTGAGCTGCATTTTCCACATCGGGGAAAAGGACCTTTCTCCAGGGGCTGAAGCCAGAATTAACAGACAAAAGGAAGCCGAGGACCGGTCTCCTCGAGCACGCGCCGGGGTGAGCAGTGCTGCGTGGACACGCGTGCGGCCAGCACTCCTGCACGCGTGGAGGCAGAGAGGCAAGTGAGAAGTGGAGGGACCAGCAGCCGCGGCGTTAGGGACTCGGTCGTGTCCTCAGACTCCCATGCTGAAGTTCCAAACCTCAGCGTCTCAGAACGTGCCTGCATTTGGAGCCGCGGCCTTGAAAGAGGTAATAAATGTAAAATGAGGTCACTGGGGTGGGCCCTGATCCAATCTGACCAGTGTCCTTCTAAGAAGAGGAGATCAGGACCCAGACACCCGGAGGGGTGTGAGGACTGAGGGAAAAGACACAGTCTACAAGCTAAGAGAGAGGCCTCAGCGGGGACCAGCTCTGATGACACCTTGATTTCAGGGTCCCAGCCTCCTGGACTGTGAGACAACAAATTTCCATTGCTTTTAAGCCCCGTCGCCTGGGGTGCTTTGTTACGGCGGCCTGGAGAACGAATATTAACGGGAACTACTGGGCAGGTGCTACAGTGTGCAAGGCACAGTGATGAGAGATTAACATGTAGCCATTGCTTGTCTTATCGGAACCCTGTGTAGGGCCCAGAGGGGTTAAGTAACTTACTGAAGGCCACATGGGTGTCACTAAGGTTCACGGCAGGGGCCCTGGAGTCAGTGTTTCTAAAACAATCTCACATGGCAGTGACAAGACAGAAATCCAAGGAAAAAAGGGAATACCAGTGATGAGCTCTGAAAGGTGAGCTGGGCAGGAAGCATCAGGCTCTCCCCGGTCCCGAGGCCTCCAGGCTGCAGCGAGGCTGTGTAGCTGACCTCATAGGCGTCCCCCACTGCTCAGAGAGAAGCAGGGCGTCAGGGAATGAGTTTGGCCCCACCTCAACCCACCTCCAGCCCCACCCCTGGGCCCACCTCCAGCCTCTGCCCCACCGCCCTCCAGACATAGGCTGGCATCTTGCTTTGGAGGTTCCAAGGGAGGCCACCAGCACGGTGACACCCGCAGCACCTTTGTCCTGCACGCACCTGTGAGCAGGGGAAGGGGAGAATTCTCTGAGCGGGAAACTGGGGAGAGGCTGAGTGTATTTGCTCCTGGACTCCCTGCGCCTGTCACCGTGCAGCAAACCTCGTCTGATTGGTAAGATTGGGTGGGCAACCTGCTCATGAGAGGGGCTCCTCCAGAACTGGGGGCCGTGGTCCGACGTGGCCAGTGGGAAAGGAATCCTTTCCAACTGTGCCAGTCCTTGTTCTCACCTAAGCTTGTCCTCCAACTTTGCCTTCCTCTGTGACAGGGGTTACATTTTAGCCCCACTATGCTACAGGATGCTTCATTTCTCAATGTATGGAGACCTTAAAAATATATACAGCAAAGAACAAAGGAGAATGAGCACTGAGCCTAAGGAATCACTGGAATTTTTGTTTTAGAACTCCTTAGCATTTTAATTTTTTTAATTTTTTGTTTTTAGAGATGGGGTCTTGCTATGTTGCCCAGGCTGGCCTCCAACTCCTGAGCTCAAGTGATCCTACCGCCTCGGCCTCCCGAGTAGCTGAGATTATGGACAAATGCCACTGTGCCCAGCTGATTTTATATAAGGATAAAAGCTAAAATAATGAAGGTAAGGTGATAAAGATAAGATACAGTAATGAAAATGATAACATGGGGGAAGGTAACCGTAGCCAGACCTCCCCGGGCACAGTGATTTGATCGCTGTCCATGTGGCTGCATGTACATTAACACAGCTGACCACATAGTGCCCTGAGGATGGAGAACACGTCACTCCCTACAACACGTGGAAGACAAAACTAAGACCGAGAGAGGGAGAGGGGCTTGGGATCACCCAGCTGACAGGTTGGAGCCATCACCTTTCCCCTAAACAACACTGCTTCTCATGGAAGAAATGCTCCAAACAGTAGTAATAATAGCAGCAGGATCAGAATGTCAATGAACTCAGGTCTCACTGGTCGTTTGATTCCATAGTTATTTGCTTTGTAGTCACCTACTTCTTCCTTGAGGAAAAATGTCATCTGTGCCCCAACATGAAAATCAATGACACATCCCTTGGCAGAGTGGCGCGTTCACAGACAAGTGTGACTTGGGTGCTGCCGCAGGGACCGTGGAGCCTCGCAGGCAGAGCTAGCTAACGCAGGGGCATAAATAGCAAAAAGAACACAGCGACAAGAATAAAAATAACAAAAATACCGACTAACACCAGAGCGCTTCCCACAGGCCAGGCCATGTTATAACTGATGCTTCAGCTCCCTTGTCCCCACGACACCTTTGCAGGTACGTGTTATTATGGCGCTCAGGGCACCGGTGGAGAGCTGAGGTTCAGAGATGTGTGGCGTGCACGTGCTGGGGCAGAATTCCACGAGTTCATGCGTGGACAGTGCTTAGAATGGCATGTGACCCTGAGCAGGGAAGCTCCAGTGGGGGCGGGGAGGCAAGAGGGTGACATTGGGGTGGGGGGCTGGATAAGGCTTCCTAGAAAAGGGGATACCAGGCCAGGCCCTGGAAAGCAGAGACCTGTATGCACAGAGTCAGAGCGAAGCAACCAACACGAGGGCATCAGCGGACACTGAGAGGTGAGAGCCAGCCAGCTGGGCGTGGCAGGAGCCCGGACAAACAAGGGCCTGCGCTGCGGGGCCAGGGGCTGGGGAGGGCGTGGGGCACCTTCCCTCCACCAGAACAGTGCCAGGTGACATTATCTCACCGATTCCATCTCTATGACTCTACAAGGCACTGCTGTACACACAGGACATGTGAAGTTCAGAGCAATGAGGAGCTTTCCAGAAGCCGTGCAGGTACTATGTACCCAGGCTGGGAGTCACATGCAGGTCCGCCTGGGACTGAGTCTGTGGTCTGTTCAGGGCCCCATGCTCCATTCTCCAAACACAAGCTTAAGAACTGGAGATTTATTTATTTTTATATCACCAAAGGAAGGAAAGCACTGAAAGTCTCTTAGCTGGGACACAGAACAATTTTTATGACACGTTTAAACCAGAGGCAGTGGAAAGGTCGCTACTTGTGCACCAGCTGCACCAGTAGCTTCTGTCGAGAGCAGCAGGATTCCGAGGCCTTATCTGGGCGCAGAGGGAAAGAGCAGCAGGACGATGAGCAACGTGGGCCATGAGTACACGAGCACAGGGTCAGTGAGAGTTCTCGCACATGGAAAAGTGTGATGCTTACGGGGTGTGAGGGGGCCAGGCTGCCTGAATGTGAACCTCAGCCTTGTCTGCAGCCCCCTGGCCTGGGGCGAGCTTCCCAGACACTCTGGTCCCTTCATCTGTAAATGAGGGACCTACTAAGACTAAAGGACGTCTCCGCCCTCCTAGGGAAATAGCCAGTTCCGAAGCCACGGTAATAACTGAATCCCAGAACTGGTTTCAAACCTGCTTAATTAACCAATGACAGCTCACCTCAGGAACCGAACCGCTGAAAGCCAACCAGTGATGGTGGCACGTTCTACAAGCAGCCAACCAGCAGTGAGGTGGCCCCAGTGAAGATGCCTGACCATGCCTGGACACACATGAACATGCCTGAACATCTCATGAACATGTTCTGAGGCTGATGTCAACCCACCCCACTTCCTGGTCCAGCACAGCCCAAAACAAACTCTTCACCCTACCGACAACGCTGATCCTGGTCGCCAGCATGGCGGCTGCGCTGCAGTTCGCTGCGAGCACCACCTTCGTGTATGCTTCGAATGTTTCATGATAGAAAAGTGAATACACGTTTTTAAAAACCCACAACTCTTTCCCCAGATCCAACCTCTCTCTAACGTAAATGAGAAATTCAGCTTTGGGGTTACAGATACGGGGTGGTGGTCTCCTCCTCTGAGACCCTGCCAGCAAGATCTGCTGTGAGGATTAGCCGAGTGAACACGTGTGAGGCATTGAAGAAGGTGCCCCATACAAAGCACGTCACCCGCAATACCTGTAAGTGCCCTCGTCACCCGCCGTCCCCGACCTGAGAACACTCCGCTATTACCTTGCAGAAACTTCCTTCTGAAAGCCTGGAGTGCGCCCGAGGTCTTGTTTCCGACCGACCCGCTCACGGCGAGGCCCGTGATGTTGTCCAGCAAGAGCAGGTCTGAGAGGTCGGCTGACAGGGCTGTCTTGGTGTTGTTAACAAGCAGTCGCACGTGGGCCGTCTGTGATCCGCTCTGCCCCGACACCTAGGACAGGCAGAGACGGAGTGAGGGCAGATTTGCTGACAAGTCCAGCTTCTTAAAACGTCACGTGTCAGGTCTCCGGGAAGAAGGAGAATAACGGACTCACAGAGGTTCTGAGAATTTCTCCGGCTCTGTCTGATTTCAAAGGCCCCCGGAGGGTTCTGACCCACACTTGCCAAGCTGTTGCCTGGAGACAATTTCAAAGAAACTGAGACCCTGAAACGTAGTGACATCATTCCTGCGGAGCATCTTAGACGAGAAGACACCCACGTGCAGAGCCACAGTCAGACTGGGACAGTCACTGTCACGCAGAAAAGCAAACAATGGCTCTTTGGGACTCAGGAATTTTGAAGATTCAGCCCCAGCCCCAGAGCACTGCCCAGGGTCTCTGACGGCCACAGGATCCCCAGGATCGAGCCGGGCTGCTCGCTGGCCTCCGGCTCTGCCTAGCACGTGAATGGCTCCGAGCCTGGAAGCTGCCCAGCAGCCCATGTGGCAGCATCACCACCTGGGTCTGCTCCCTTGCCCTGCTCCCCTCTCCAGCTTACCTCCCACCAGCCCTACACTCCTTCTCCCCAGCTCTGTGGAAACAGATACAGGAGCTGGAGAGAACCGAAGGCAGCAATGTGTGTTCCAAGACAAGTGAGCTCCCGAATATCAGAAGTGAAAAATGTAAGTTTCAGAACTGTATGTGTAGTATGCTGCCAACCATGTGAAAAGGGAGAGGAGGAAGGTACACGTATGTATACATACAGGTACACACACACTCATAATTACATGCATATGGCAGAAAACATCTCTAGAAGGACATATGAGAAACCACCAACACTGATTGCATCCAGGAAGGAAGGCAGGGTAGCTGAGGGCCTGTGGAAACTCGAGGGCGGCGCAGTGAAGAATTAACTCGGCAGACTCGAGCTGCCCAAACCCTCCACACTCCAAGCAGGCCCTTGACCAGGTCCTGGGAGATAACCTCTGAAGCCAGCAGAATACCCTGCCTAGTTAAAGTGCTTTGCATATCTGGGGACTTGGACCTCACCAGATAGTTGATGCCCACAATGTGAGTTGTGGGGCATGCCTTGGGCCACGCTATATCCATGCGAGCTCTGGAGCAGCTGGACAGTGAGTAACTGAGGTCAGTCTCACAGGTGGTTCGCGCCCACGAAACAGAGCCCTGAGAAAAACCTTGCACACCAAGGCTTGCTGAACTTCCCTGGTTGACAATATTCCGTCTGTGCTGTCACACATCACTGCTGGGGGACGGAGCACCGCCCGCACTGTCTACTGGGAGAGCACAATGGGAAGCTTGAGCCTGGTCCCTCCCGGGTTCTGCCACAGGCACCTTTGTCCTTTGCTGACTGTAATCTGTATCCTTTCACCGTAATAAACCCTAACTGGAAGCATGTGGCTCTTCTGAGTTCTGTAAATCCCAAAAGCAAATCACCGAGCCTGAGGGTGGTGTCAGGGACCCCCAACAGGAGGAAGAAGTGAACCATCTCACAGGATTAATAAGATTAAAGACCTAAATGACCTTCAACAAATTTTTTAAACTGCCAGGGACCATATTAATGTTCATAATCTGAAAGAAAATATATCATACTTTCTTTCTCATTCTAAACGATCCCTGTGGATTTTCACTGACAATTACCTGTTACGAAAACAGAAAAATCTCAGTCCTAGCATTGCCGTGTAAGATACCAGATCCCTCGTTGTTTATTTCATCCCTCACGCGTCTAGACACGGGTTAGTGAGCCCATGACTTGCCAGTTCTTAAATACGTGACTCTACTAACATGATTTGGGCAAAATCCAAGTGTTTTCTCTTCAAGTACAAGCCATCTACAGAAACTTACCAGTGCACATTTCTGAAAAATTACTCCATTCTCAGAAGTCCCTTGAATTTCTCTTGAAAGGTCCCTATCCTACAATAAAATATAGAAATTATTAGAAAATAAAAAACAGTTCATGCCATCCATATTTTTTAAAAAGTATAGTATGATGAACTTTTAATAGGAGGGTAGAATACTTCTGCTAATCCATAAGTAATCTTGATTGTTAAGAGCATTAAAAGATTGGAAATTAAAACCATGAGAAAAGAATAACGTGGACATGAGATTACCCCGCAGGGTATGCCTGGCGCATGTGAAGACACCTGTTGCCACAGGGACTCGGCAAACCAGAGCTGACATGTCAGCCAGAGGAACATGAGCAGAGCTGGGAAGAAATCGCTTGGGGATGGATCGGAGCACGTACCCTGTCCTCCGGGATGTGGGCTGACTTAGTACACCAGCCACACCACAGTGGGGACACAGTGAACAAAGGGCAGAGTGCTGGGGGTGGCCCCTCCGTGGGCTGCACCCACCGCCAACACAGAGAACCCACCCTGCTCCGGCCCCCTGTAGCCCTGCAATGACCCCTGATGACAATCCTCGGAGGGAGGCCAGGGCTCGCCCATCAGAGGCAAGCCTTCTGCAGCCCTGGGCAGCCCAGGCTTCTGCTCCCCACGTAACCACAACCACTATCTGTTCATTTCTGCCCCCGCCCTCACCCCCAAGTCCAGGCCCCTGGCCCCTGCAGTATCAATACGCATCCTTTAAACCAAACCAGACCCTTACCCCGTCAAGGAAGCTTTCCTAGGCTCTCCTGGCTGGGATGACACGCTCCCGGCTCTCTGCCTTGCCTGCCTGCAGTGTGACGAGTTGGACCCAAGTCAGCCCATGGCAGCCCTCAGTGACATTCACGATCATAACAACGGCTGTCACTTACCCAGTGCTGGTGTCAGGCCCACCTCTTTACATACGTGAATTCTATCACTCCCATTTTAGAGATGAGGAAACTAAGGCTCAGAAAGGTTAACTCACTTGCCCAAGGTCACACAGGCAGGAAGCTTGAGACTCTACCCAGGCCCGTGTCTCCAAATCCCAAGATCCTTCTACAACACATCCCCTCTCCACAGCATAACTCTCTCCTTGTGCAGAGTCTCAGCAAAGGCAGAGAGGGAAGCAACGTTCCAGAGGACACTGACGACACGCAGCAGCACGAGCCAACTCAGGCCTCCGGACTGGGCAGCTTTCTGTCCACTACACCTGCCCTAATGCCTCTCTCACGCGCCAGGGCCCTAAGCAGCCTTTGCCGGAGCCCTCAAGCAGAGACCTGGCCTCCATCCGGACTCTCAGAGAGCATCTTGTAAACAATAATTGATAAATGTAATTATTTGAGCAATAAATGCAGAGGTGGCAACCGAGTATGGAGGGTGCTGCCACGTGAGGCGACAAGTGACCTGCTGTTTGAGAGGATGGGAAAGAACGATGATCCCTGTAGTGGGTTCAATGTGGCCCCCAAAAGGATAAGACCACATCCTGATCCGCAGAACCTATGAATGTGACCTTATTTGGAAAAGGATCTCTGAAGATGTGATGAAGCTAAGGGTCTCACGATAAGATCGTCCTGGATTACCCAGGGGCCCTGTCTGCAATGACAAGCCTCCTTTTAAGTGACACATGTAGCAGAAGACACAGGCACAGAGGAAAGGGCCAAGTGCAGGTGGAGGCAGAGCGTGGAGCGACGCGGCCAGAGCTGAGGAAGGCCTGGAGCTTCCGGGTGCTGGCAGAGGCAGGGAGGACCCTCCCCAAAAGCCTTCGAGGGGGGCTGACCTGCCAACACCTTGACTTCAGACTGCCGGCCTCCGGAACAGCGAGGGAATGCATTTCTGTGGTTTTAAGCCACCTAGTTTGTGTTAATTTGTTCTGGCAGCCCCAGAAAACTAACATAGCCCCTTAGGAAGGGGCCAAGAAGGGGTTCATGGCCATCACAGCCCACTGCCCGAGCCCAGTGGTTCTCATACCATTCTAAGCCTTTAAACCTTACGTTGGGGAACCGACACACAAAACAGAACATAAAACAACAGCAACAGCACGCAGGAGCGGTTGAGAGCAGGGGCTTCAAACCTAGGCTCTGCCCCTTCTACCTGCGGGCCCTGGAACAAGTTCCTTAATTTCTCTAACCCTCGATTTCCTGTCTGTAAAATGGGAACAATAATACCACCTATTTACAAACTCAGCATGAGGCTCAAATGAGATTATGCCTTTAAAGTGCTAAGCCCAGCTCCGGGCACGTGGCGAGTGTGTGTTCGACGTCCTCTGCCGTTATGGGCAGCAGCATCTTTCCACAGCCAGGAATGAATCGGTCTGGTTAAAGCAGACCCCGCCCTGCTGTAGGAACACCAGATAGGCAGCCTAATGCTCTGACTCAAACCTCCTAGCCAACCAAACACTCTATGTTGTGCAGCAGAAATGACACTTCAGGAAAATAAATGGATTTGCTTCCCAATGATAACTATATTTGTGAAAGAGGAGGAATGGGCTTGTTTGAGGAACAAAAGCCTGTGACATCTTATACACGGTTGGCTCAAAATTGGTTTCTTTCCCACTTGTGGTATTTTGTTCAAGTATTGAGCGTGTTACTTACCAGGCGGTGTGTTACAGGAGACTCTCTTTTAAATAAGGTCTTCTTAGGCCATGAAGGTATGAAAGCAAATAGGGAATGAGTCCACGGCCCACTGGAGGCTGCAGAAGTCGGGAGTGGGAAAAAGACTTCAATTTTCTTGTTGAATTCCGTTCCAAGTGGTGCTTCAGCTGCAAAACAGCAACACACATGTCGTATGACGCAGAGGACAGCCAAGACCCAGTGGTCGAACCCAGAGCAGACGACGTGGACGTGCAAGGCATCTGGAAATGCTTGCTGAACAAGTGAATGAGCTAATGAACGAATGAATGAATGGCTTTTCTATAACCTCTTTGCCAGGAAAACGCCACATGCTCTTCAGGAAGCTACAGAGCCTAAGAAGAGTGTTTCTCAAAGTGTGGTCTCCCCATCTGGAGTGTGGGGCCCCACCCAGGAGTCAGAGGCCCTGGGCAAGGGTGGTCCCCGGGCGATTCTCACACACGTGGCAGCGGACGGCCCTGTGTGTGAATCCTGGTGCTGCCCCTCCAGCTACAAGTCCTTGGGCAAATCCCCTACCCTCTCTGTGCCTCACTTTCCTTAACTCTAACATGAGCAGTCAGCCTTACCTCATCAGGTCCTTCTGAGCACCTACCTCCTGCAGAGTGAGCTCTCAGCGAACGCTGCCACCCACCCCTTTAAGGAGGATCTGTGCACGGCCAGGCACAGATGCCCACTGAGCCATCCAGCGTGAAACGGCTCTCTCTAGAATATATTGATCTACATCAACATATTTGGAAAATTCTTAAGCGCTATGTGTAAAGCACAGAAATGTCACTTAAGAGGTCCTGGCTGGGCCATCAGTTCTCCTGAGTGAACGCTGCTTGGTGGCTGATCAGCTGCGGGCCCTGGACAGGTCAGCTAAGTTCTCGGAGCCTCAGTTCCCCCAGCCTGGGAATGTGGTCGGGATTCCAATCAGTCAGGGCTGTCTGAGTGGCCAGTTGAATGCCACACTGCAGCCATGGGGAGTGACACACCTGGCCAAGCCACACGTCCTGCGTTTTACTCACAAGATTCCTTCAGAGGTGAATCAAGGCAGGCCCACCTAGCTGGACACTACACTCCAGCCAGCTTTGGGAGAGGACAGGCCACCCTAGTTTTGAAAGGTCAGGGAACAACCTATTTGCCCACGGTAGGGAGATGTTGAAAGGTCAGCAGAGTGGGAGGGAGGAGGAGGGAGAAGGCTTTCATGGTCAAAACAGGAAAAATCAACCAGAAGAAAAATTTACCTGCAGTCTTAAAGTGAGAGCTTTCCACATTGGACCAAATCATGCAGGACAAGTCCTAAAAAATTCAAAAGGCACAAAATCATTAACTGAAAAACATATTTGTAGGAAGCGGTTGGAAGTAATTTTCGTAAACGGCTCGCACAGAGAGGAATTGCACTCTTATCCAGAAGTCTAAAGTATACCATTCTACCTCAACCACCCCACCAGCTTTTGAGCACGGATTCCCTCCTCCGTCCCACGGGAAGTGTTAGCTCAGTCACAGCTGCGCTTCTGGGAGGTGTCTAGGAGGCAGCGTTTCGTGGCCGAAATGTCTCATAGTCAGACAGACCTGGGTTCGAATCTCACATCTGCTTTTCATGAACCCTGTGACCCTGGATAAACCAGAGCCTCGGAATTCCCAAGATCCTGCAAGTTTCCAGAGTGGCAGATAAAACACTAGACAGGGAGTGGAGAGGACTGGGTTCCAGCTGGAACCATTCGCTCACTATGTGTCCTTGGCTAAGTCTCTCAGCCTCTCTGAGACAGATCCCTCTTCTGAAAAGTGACCTCAGAGCCTCCTCCCAGCCTGCTTAGCCTCATTTAGTGATGAAAATGTGTCCAAACTGAGCCCAGCCAAACCCTTCCACTCCATCTATGTGAAATACTGGGCTCTAGAAAGTCTCAGATCTCCCTACTGAATAATAACAATAACAGTAATACCAGCTGCCCTGGACAGAGCCCTCTCCACGTGCCAGGCCCTGTGCTGTGCGTTCCACGCGAACTGCGCGAGTGGTCCACATAGCCCAGTGAAGTGTTATCCTTATTTCACGGTAATACCCCCAGACTAGGTAACTAGGTAACTCCCTCCAGGTCCCTCAGGTACGCAGGGTAGAGCCGAGCTCTGCGAGCAGGCAGCCTGGTGCTGGTTTGCTCACCCTGCGTGCACTCACTGGTTTCTGTGCCACGGAAGGAGAAAGGATGTGCATGAGAGCTGAGGGGACGCCAGGCCTGGCTGCGGGGTCCAGTTCCGACGGCTAGTTCACGTGGCTGCGGTTCACACGGCCCTCGTGTGGGAATGCGTGGGACTCGACAGCACAGATAGGACACAGTTGTGTCGACTGTCTTTGTTCACTTGGAGAGCTCTCCCTGTGTCCTTTTTGTGGACTTACTTGGAGAATAAGCCCATCCCCATGGGCACAGGAGTGACCGTGTGTTTCAGGCCCAGTCCTTCCAGGCCTCCAGGCCGCTGGACACAGCTCTGGCCAGGGCAGCTCTGCTGGGGTGATGTAAGCCACGAACGCTGGGGGTCAGCTTCCCCCGGCACGGAGGAGGCCCACCCACAGGGACAGAACAGAGCATCCACTCATGCAGAGACACAGATGGCATGATGGAAAATGCAGACACGGATGAGGAGACAGGCAGAAGGCGAGAGAAGGAGGGAAAACTGACATAGCTAGACCCAACCAGCCTCACCGCCCCGCCCCCCAAATTCCTGACTTATGAAGCCAACTTTTTGGCCTCAGCTTGTTCATGTGGGGCTTATGTCACAGGCAGCTTAAAGAATCCTATTAGAAACAATAAATTGTGGTACAAACATTCTACGGAGTACTATGCAGCCATTAAGAAGCATGAAGCAACATGATTCAGCAATTCCGCTTCTGGGTGTATACCCAAAATAACGGAAAGCAGGGCCTCGAGGAGACACGTGCACGACCGCCTTCACAGCAACAAGATTCTCAACAATACAGTGCGAGCAGCCCAGGTGTCCATCAGTGGACGAATGAAAAAGCAAAATGTGGTTTATCCACACAATGGAATTCACCCTGGAAAAGAAAGGAAATTCTGACACGTGTTGCTACATGGATGACCTTGAGGGCATCATGCCAAGTGAAATAAGCCAGTCGCAAAAGGACGAATCCTGTGTGATTCCACTCATACGAGGTCCCTAAAGTAGTCAAATTCATAGAGACAGAAAGTAGACGGTGGTTACCAGGGGCTGTTTAATGGGGACAGGGTTTTACTTTTGCAAGAGGAAAGGTGTCCCGGAGATTGGATGCTCAACTACGTAAATGTACTTAACACTGTAAACCATACACTTAAAAATGGCTAAGATGCTAAATTCTGTTATGTGCATTTTACCACAACTAAAAACAAAGCTAAATAAATAATAAACGAAGCATATCTATGTTTACCCAGAATGGACTCTAAGCTATATCAATCTCCAAGTCACAAAATTATAAATAATGTGCTCTCATTTAATAAAAATAGGATGTTTACATATTTGGTCATATTTAATAATTATATTTATCTTACATGTATTTATTTATACATATATTTATATCTTCAATATATTTACATATTCTGCAACTTATTTGATACTAATCTTTATAAATTTAATCTGCAATTATATATTTAGTAATATAATGGAAATATAATATATTATAACACTATACTGTTTTTTAAAGCCTGGAAATGGACATAGTGAAGTGTTCACACTGGCCACCTGGGGAGAGGTGTGGTGCGGGAGGAGGCAGGAAAGGAAGACTGTTTTGCGTGCCAGCTACACTGCTTCATTTCTTGTCACGAGGAGCACATGCCACGTGTCATTGCGACAACAGTAACAGGCACCCAACAACGGGAGCCCGGCCACAGGGCTGCTGTGCGGGCGTGTTCCTTTGCAGTTTTGGCTTCCAGGCCCCTTACCCCTGACATGAACACCATCCCCGGAAGCATCCTTGGACAGATGGGTGTGCCTGGGACAACTGCTAGCCCATGAAGTGTCTCTACAAGGTAGAGAAAAGCATCTTCCCCAGGAGAATACATCCATCTGCCAGAAAGTGCTATAACATGCTCGCATTGACTAAGTCTCTACTGCCACCTGGCAGGAAGACATGTCGTGATAAAAACACACGCCCAGGCTGCGCACAGCAACTTCCCTCCAGCAAGTATAGCACAATCACGTATCGCCGAACACCGGGACACCTTCTGAGAAATGCATTGTTACACGATACTGTCATCATGTGAACATCACAGAGTGTACTTAACACAGACTTAGATGGTACAGCCCACTACACACCTAGGCTTTGTGTTACAATCTGTTGCTCCTAGGCTACAACCTGTACTATGGTGAATACGTTACCGTACTGAATACTGAAGGCAGTTGTAACACAGCGGTGAGTATTCGCATATCTAAACAAATCTAAACATAGAAAACGTACAGTAAAGGCAGGGTGCAGTGGCTCATGCCTGTAATTCTAGCACTCTGAGAGGCCAAGGCAGGAGAATTGCTTGAGGTCAGGAGTTTGAGACCAGCCTGAGCAAGAGAGACCCTGTTTCTACTAAAAATAGAAAAAGTTAGCTGGGTGACTAAAAATAGAAAAAATTAGCTGGGTGTGGTGGTGCATGCCTGTAGTCTCAGGCAGTCGGGAGGCTGAGGCAGGAGGATCGCTTGAGCCCAGGAGTTTGAGGTTGCTGTGAGCTAGGCTAACACCACGGCACACTAGCCAGGCGACAAAGCGAGACTATCTCAAAAAAAAAAAAAGAAAAAAAGACAAAGAAAGAAAATGCACAGTAAAAATTGATATTATTAATATAACCTCATAGAACCACCTTTGTCTATGCAATCCATCATCGACTGCAACAGCATTACGCAGCGCAGGACTGTACCGAAGGGGCGGAAATGGTAACTTCACGACAGAGAAGCCCGACAAACACCTCTCCGGCCAGGTGATCCCGGTCAACGCCAACAGTGGTGAGTCACGTTGACAGCATGCACCCCGACAGACTCCAAGAATGGGGCATCCTACAGGGTGCCTGAGAGGTCTTCCTCAGGTCAAGGTCAAGGGCACCAAATACAAGGGAAGCCTAAGAAACCGATACAGCCAAGAGGAGCCCAAGGAGACGTGACAACTAAACGTAAGGTGGGATCCTGGATGGGATCCTAGGACAGAAAAAGGACATTAGGTAAAAACTAAGGAAATCTGAATGAACTATGCACTTTAGTAATAATTTATCAATACTGGTCCATTAACTGCAACAAATGTACCATACTCATGCATGTTTAACGACAGGGGAAACCGTGGGGGGGGAGGAGATATATGTGAACTTTCTGAACTATGTGCTCAATTTTTCTATAAATCTAAACCTGTTCTAAAAAATAAAGTCTACGAATTAAGAACAAATACATCTGTGAGGTTCTCTAATGTGGGCAGTGGTGTTTAGACACGGCGCCATGGTGTATCCAACACCACATAAATGTACGTCCTACTGCCCCCTGGAACTCTCCATCCATTCTTCCAGCCAGCACCTGCTGCATGCCAAGCACTGTGCTAGCCGTCACACGTCCGGCAAAGGAGACCTGGCCCCTGATATCACCCAGGGATGAAGCTCTCCTTACAGTGACACTGTCACTCAGGAGGAAGGGGCAGGTTCCCAGGGAGCAGGGGACCCAGGCTGACCATCATGGGGAAGGCTCGCTGTGGCTCCCAGGGCAGTCTCAGCCCAATGCCTTCTGGCCACCTCCCATTCGTGTCCTTTCTGCAGTCCCCAGACTGGGGAGGGCTCTGAGCAGCCTGCTTCTGCAGGGACCATGCCAGGTGCCAGCCGACATCACCTTCCAATGCTACCCTGTCCCTCCCTGCTATCCCTCTCTCCAAGGTGACACAGCTCCCAGCAAGGTCACCACAGCCACCCTAAGGCCCCGCTAAATGGCCAGCTCTCCTTCCCACTGCACACATTACCGCGCATTTGATACGTGTCTGTGCTAGTTTCCCGCGGGCACTATAAAAAATTGCCACCAATCTAGTGGCTTAAAACAATACAAATTTATTCTCTGACAGCTCTAGAGGTCAGCTGTTCAGCGCAGGCCTCATCAGACTAAAGTCAAGGTGCCAGCGGAGCTGGGCTCCTGTCCGAGGCTCCACGGGGAATCTGTGTCCTGGCCTTCTTAAGCTTCCACAGGTGCCACAGTCCTGCTCAAGGCTCCTGCACCATCTCCAAGGCCAGCTGCAGCAGGTGGAGTCCTCACTGCATCTCGCGACCTTCTTGCAACCTCTGCCCGGCCTCCCCTGCCTCCCT